CAGAGTCGTTTCTCTGAGGGGGTTACCCCGCCACTCTTAAAGTGTACGTGGCGGCCATATCGGTAGGACATGCACTCGTAGGAGGTGTTTCGGTTGGTCGTCACACCCTGGTGTCACATTTTATGCATGGTTCGAGACGGCTTAGGCCTTTCCGCCCAGTCCGAGTTCCTTCTTGGGACTTATCGATTGTGTTGGAGGGTCTGACGGGTCATCAGTTGTTCGTGTGTTTTGGTGGTAAGAGCAGAGGTTCTGCTGTCACTAAACAGCGGATGTCACACTGGATAGTGGAGGCTATTTCTTTGGCCTATGAGGCGCGTGGCTTGACTTTGCCTCTAGGGGTGCGTGCTCATTCTACAAGAGCAGTGGCTTCTTCTCACGCCTTCTTTAAAGGGTCTTCGATGGAAGATGTTTGTGCTGCGGCAGGATGGTCCTCTCCTAGCACATTCATCAAGTTTTATAGTTTGCACGTAAGGATGGCTCCCGGCTCCCGGGTCTTATCCGCTTGAGCAGATACTTTCCTTGGTCTTCTAGCTATCTAAGGTACGTCAGGCGTTATGGTATAGCATTCCCAATGTGATGACGTCATCGCAGCATCAAAGTGAGCCTATGAGAGGGAACATCTCAGTCACGTATGTAACCTTGATTCCCTGAGTAGGGGAACAAGATGCTGCGATGCTAGGCCGTTCCGTACCTTGATAGCGCTTCCTTTGTAAATCAGTGAAATCTGATGAAAATAGCACGCAGCACGCTATATAGCTCACCTATGTGCGCTTTGGGGGCGGTGCTAAGCGCTATTTGGCCAATGAATTGGCGTGATGGTATAAGGGCTTCAGACATTCGTCACATCGAAGGTGTTCCCAAAGCGATGACGTCATCGCACCATCTCGTTCCCCTACTCAGGGACCCAAGGTTACATACGTAACCGAGATGATTTCTGTAAAGGGACATGATGAAACTCATCCAATTAAAAAAGTATTGGGACAATTTTTAAGTTTTGGAAGGATAGCAGAAGAAGAAGCCCAGTCACGTGGAATAATAAATGTAGAAATGAGCCCTGCAGTAGTAGTGTCACCTTGGTTATTCCTTTTACCATTAGTAGACTTTAATTTGCAAGAAATTATTAATGACAAAAATAGAGTAATAACAAAAGATGTCATGGTTAAACTGTATCTAGAACAGAATTACAACTCCGCAATCTCAATTTTCACTGATGGTTCCAAAGATCACGAGACAGGACGAGCATCAGCAGCTGTATTTGTCCCAACTTATCAAATCAAGACTGGTAAAAGAGTTTCTAATCAAGTAGGAGTTTACATCACAGAGATGGTAGCAATATTATTAGCTATCAGGTGGATGGGGGATACTCGGCCAATGAATGCAGTGATATGTTCAGATTCATTCTCTGCACTATCAAGTCTTATCAGTGGAAGATCTTCAAGACAAGACATTTTGGACATTAAGGTTTGTTTCCTGTGGGTTCCAACACACGTGGGAGTAGGTTGCGGACAAAACAGGCACTGAAATGATCACATATAGAAATTATTATACCACTAAGCATAGAAGAAGTTAAGGCTAAAAGGCTAAAAACAATAAAAATGAGATGGGAAGAAGTTTGGAATAAGGAGGAGAGAGGAAGACATCTTTATCATATTCAAAATCAAGTTGGGGTTGAAAGAGTTAATTTTGGTAGTAGAAGAGAAGATACAATTATTACCAGACTTCGCATTGGCCATACTGCTTTAAATTCTTCTCTATATAAAATGAATAAGCATGAGTCTGGGAACTGTAGTCTGTGTGGATTACCAGAAACAGTAGAGCATGCACTATTACATTGTTCTGCTTATGATAACGAAAGAGCATTTCTGTTGGAAGAATTCAAAGAAATAGGGTTAGAAAATATCACACTTAAAACTTTGTTGAATAATGGCTTGGATCGTTATAAAATATACAATGCTTTAATCGCATTCTTTAAAAAAAGTAGACCTGTTTAACAGGATTTAGAAGGGTTTAATTTTTAAATTAAATTAAATTCAATTTAAATTTAAATTAAATTAAATGAAAAGTTCATCAATAAAAATATAAAATTATAAAAGTCCCAGTCCATCAATGGTCCACACTCCAGCCCAGCGGGTGGCGGGAATGCACCTATCGTTTGTTTGCCAACAGCCAAAAAAACTCCAAAAGAAGAAGAAGAAATGATCCTGACTCATTGAACCTGGATCGAATTAGTGAGATTGCGTGAGTTTAAAAGGTCGTTTATGAAACCCGAGTAGTTAGTCCCGATTGATCTGTTAGCTTATTTCAAGTCAGTTTTTGTGACTTTAATCCCCGCTTTTATGAAACAGCCCCCAGCTGTCGTGCGACTCCCTGTTGCTTGGGTCGTCTTGATTGGTCACAAGTGTGTCTTGTTATTCATTAGTCTGCAGAGCCCTTGTGTTTCATAGTTCTTGGTTTAGGTTTCTCACCGAGCTGTAACTGCTGATTGGTAAGTTTATTGTTCTGGTTCATGTTCGGTTCAGGTTAACTAAGCTTCTACTAAACTTGCTATCAGTGGAGAGTTTGTTACATTAAAACTCCAAAAACTGGCCAACCAATTTTCTTATTTTATTTGTTTGTTTTTTCTCAAGGTTTTTGAGCCTGTTTAAAAGTAAATCAAATCTGGAAAACATATATTTTAAGCACCTGGTAGCTTTTATAGGACTGTTTCTAAGGTTGACAGATTTTATTGATGCTAAGTACAATATTAGTGGAAATGCTTAAGAAAAAGTACTGCAATATTAAATAAAGTGAAATTGAAAAAAGTAGAAATAGCCACGCGATGTAACAAGGCTCGAATGGACTACTTTAACGCTTCGTCTTCTCTTTCCTCTCTGGAAGTTTATAATCTGCGTCTTTAACATTAGGTCAGAGACGAGCGCTCGTGCGTCACATGACAAAGCCTTTGCTGCCCTCTGGTGGACAACATGAGACACTGACTGCAGGGTAAGTCTACAGAAAGTATTGGGCTTTGCCAAAAGTACTCTGTAAGCCAATTAAAAATTCATTTTATTCTAATTTATTAATGATTTTACCAAAATGTAATCAACTTTTTGTTCTTATCCTTTTTTCCATATTTTATCTTTGTTTTTATTGATGGTGCTGGAGACGGAGAATTCATCTCGCTATCAAACTGTTCTCTCTCCCATTCTAGGTGCGTTGATCACGTGACTGGCCAGATCAAAGAGTGACTGCTCAATCTGTGTATGCTGCATTATTTTCAGCCAAATGGACTAAATGGATGTGTTGTCTTTAGCCAAAACTGCAGTAAAATAATGGTATTCAGTGCTCTAAAATTTCTTTCTTTTCATTCATATATATATATATATATATATCTATCTATATATATCTATTTGTATTTTTTTCTCTACACATTACTAAACAGAAGTTGATTACTTAACAGTAAAGTAAGCAAGCACACACGCTGAGATGCACTGAAAGGGAATGACCCACTTTATTTCGAAAGTGGATACAGTATGCAGTGCAACACACTTTTTGTTTTATTTTTGATACAGTATTTACATTTTTACATTGGGAAAATATGTGTGTGTGTGACAAGGCGATGTGGACAAGAAGAGCTACGTGATCCAAGTCAGTCATCGAGCCAAGAAAGATCCCACCCTTCTCCTTGGAATGAAGAGCTGCGAACCCCGTAATCCCACAGGAGCTCCTCGCTGACGGCAATGTCCCGCAGAGCGAAGAAGAGAACGCATTCCCTGGGACCATCCAGAAATTTTAGAGAAACTCTCTGAGGCCGCACATTGTTTTTGCTGTGGGAATGGTTCATCCTCCTCCCATAAGTCTCCTGGTCTGGGTGGCAGTCACAGGGGAACTTCTGGGCATCGATGCAGAGAGGCTTGCCACCCTTGCCCTTAAAGAAAAACAGGTATGACGGCTCCCCGGTGAGGGTCTCCAGCCTCCGCTCCCCTTCCTGCTTGGAGACCACTTCACCGTGGTAGTCACACACGACCTGGTTCCTTTTGAACTCCATGGTGGCAATGACCCCTGCACAAAGGTAAACGAACGTGCTATTGAGCAAACCGCTTCACTCTTTACAAAATAAATAAAAAATAAATAAAAAAAGATTACAATCGTGTTCAAAAAGTGGGTAGTCAAAACTGTGACACACACCTTTGCCTTTCCCCTCAAAGCTCTTAATGGCCAGCCCTTCCCATTTCTGCTGGACCACGGAGGCAATGATCACGGGATCATTCTCTGCAGCCGATGGCTCCTGGCAGGGCACCCATGCCAGCTGAACACTGTCCACGGAGGGCACGTTGGTGGTCCACGCATTCTCCTTGGCAATGGCACGCTGGACGTGAGATGCCAGGGGTTTTTGGCCGGTCCTGCCAGTGGACTGCTCTGGGGAACAGGACTCGGGTGAGTTTTAACCAAGCACAGCTCACTTAAAGTAGACCATAATGTGACGGGCACCATTGTAAGCACTTACCGAGAATATACTGTACCCGCAGCTTGTACTGAAGCCTCCTCCAGTAGTGGTAGTAGCTGCGGTCCATAAATCCTGCCTCTGCCGCCTGCGCCCTTGTTGGAGGCTTTCCGTGAAGGGAAACGGGAAACCGGTCCTCAAAGGCACCCCAAAACCGAGGAGTCAGGAGCTGGGCTGCCGCGGTAGGTGCTGCTGTCCTGTGAGGGGGGTGAGGGGGGGGCGAAAATCTATTTGTACATCAATAGTTTTACTACCAAGACCATGGCTGAAGTACAGTTAGTGTAAAAATAAAAAATGTGTACATGTAAACATTCTGTACCTCTCCGGCATGTGTGGTGCCTCCCCTTCCGCAGATGAGCTGGGGGCATCAACCGTCAGTCCCGCCTGTGGCTCCGGTGGCGGCACAGCTCTCTCCTGGAGCCTCATGACATACCTGCGGACATACGTCGGTGGGAGAAATGAAGGTATAATGTCCGTCATGGCCTGTCGTGAAACCCAACCGTATCCGCATCAAACGCTACAATACTTGCTTTTGTCGTAGCCTTTGCACATCGGCTGTCGGGTTGCTAAGAGGGACACCCGAAGCCCCGAGGAAGAACCGGTCCCTGTCGTCTCTCTCTGGAGTTTGGGCCTTTAAATATTCTGGCCGGATATGAACAAAGTAGCAGTCCAACCACTATGGCAAAGATTTACGCATATTTTAAGTGTTCGCTGTCACAGAACTGTTAATGAACCGATAGTGTGCAGTGTAGTGTGATCATCTTACATGTTCTTCTTTTTTGCTTAACTCGATAGCTCCTTTGGACAGCGTTACAGTGACTCCGTCTTCCTCCGGCACTCTGTCGTTCCACTCCTGGACCTGTGAAAACATTCAAACCGAAACGATAAGGTTCTGGCGTGTATTCTTCAACCTCAGAAGACCATATATAATATAATATAACGTATCATATTTGTGTTTTGAACGCGTCTAAAGTGCGTCAGCTGTGAGCTCACCTTGAACTCTTTAATGCTGGCAGGACCGAGGTGATGAACCCACATCATTGTGGCGAGACAGAAGCTCCGGAAGTCCGTCTTGCTCTTTGCTGGAACCCCCTTATGTTGGCTGAGGTGGTTGGACACCTCAGCCATGTCCTCCTCTGCGAGAGCAAGGATTTCGGACTCCTGGCTTGCAGCGCTGGAGGAATCAAAGGGTCCGTGACTATGGTATGCCCATCACACCCCTCTACAGTCTATTACACCCGTCACAAATGAATTACAATGCCTAACTGACTCTATGTTCACACACTTCCCTACCTGTCATGCCCCTCTTGGATCAAGAATCCCTTTGAGTGGAAGTACTCGGCCAAGCAGTCACAAGACGGGTCCTCCCTGACCAATTTCCTGACCTGTGAGAAATTCATAACCCTCCCCTCTCTTGCCCACTTCTCTTGTGACTCCTTGGCCCTCAGGACTTCCTCCTGGATACGGCCATCCACCGCATCCCGTAAGCAGGAATTTCTTAAATGATGGTCAATTTTGATCTGGGGCTTAAGACAAATCAAGCAGTGGACCACGCTGCAAGGGTTCCTGTACACAGCTGAAGAACGTCCTGATTATTTCTCGGTAACATAACACGCTTAATACACTGTGCGCTCGGATGAGTTTATTGTGGAAAAACAAAGAGATATATAGATATAGAGATATATATATATATATATATACACAAGCACATACATTTGACTCTCCCTGCCATCTCTCCACAGTGGTATCTCTTCTCTCCAGCTGGTGTCTTCAGGTTCGGGAAAAGGCCATGCCGAAGGAAGGGGGCGTACAAACATTAAAGCATGGTAAAACATGGTTTTGCTACACTAACCCTAGTTCAACCATGGTATTTGTAGTAAAACTGTCGACGTACAAATAGAATTATATCTGCCAAAAAAATAATAATAACATGACAAAAAAATGTAAACGACGACTCTTTATCGATTTAATGACTAGTGATTCTTAAGTGGGGTTTAGTCTTTAGCCGTTAAATGCATCTTTTCTCTTACACTTGTGCAATTTCTATAGTACCGCATCCTTCTCGTGGGAACTTAACAATTTCTGACCTTTTAGTCAATAAAACCGGTTTAATCATTTATGCGCACATGAATATAAGGTGTTTTTTCCCTTCCAGCCCTCGTTAACCCCTAGGCTACTTTTAAATAATTATATAACGTACAGATTTAATAGAGTTAGTTAAGATTTGGTTTGGGATTGTTAAAACGTGCTTGGGAAAAGAAGTACGTTCAGAATATTGACTTGCATAATTATGCACGCGCTGTAGAGAGCTCGACGACAGGAGCCGCTGAAGACGCAAAGATTAAATGCTGAATCATCTACACTGATGTAACCTAACAGTTATTTATCCAATCAGTGACCTAATTTCGGAAACGTGCACGGTCTGAACGCTTATGTACAGGCATAACTTGTAATATCATGCAAAATGAACAATTTATCTATTACCTTTGATCGGCAGAAGTTCGATGTCTTTTTCTGTAACTGAGCAGCAGCAGCAGTGCACAAAACAGGTTTGATTGGCAGCTCTGTGACGAGGTCCGGGGTCACAGAGGGGGATGGGAGTTAGTCCAGTCCAGAGTGACCCTATAATATACAGCGATACCTGGGGGCTCTTCTTGAGCGCACCTGACGCCCCCCCCCCCCCTCACAGCAAAGCACAACCGAGTTTCAACTGCCCCCTATCTATCCGTAGAGACTGTCAGACAGACACGGTGCCCGTTAGAACTATTTAATAATCTGCATCTTTGTTGATCTTTAGGTGAAAACTGTAAAGCAGATCGGGGGAGCTTCACATTGAAGACAATCTCTTCTGCCCTCTGGTGGACAACTTGAGACACTGACGGTCAGGTAAGTCTTTCCGATCAGTTGAACTTCAATTCTAATTAGCTTAATTTACTGTTATCCATCTATTATCTGATAAGTAACCGTTTGTTATTTTTGTGTTCTTTTCTCTGTCATCACAAGTGAACAGATTCGAGTCGGGCCTCACCAGTGGCAATTCAGCAAATGTGTCCAGGGGTAACGGGTGGAGGCATACCTGGTGACCGGCCCACCTCTGAACTTGCACCGGAACCACAACAACACCGACTTGCCCAGCAGGAACAGGTAGCATTCAGCAGAAATGGATTCGATGTACAAAAATGGGAAAGGTTCTTCTAAGCAGTGTCTAAGGAAAAAAAGGCCCTTTTTTTTTTTTTTTTGCGTAAAAGTACTTGCATTGAACTGCCCTTTGGTATTTGTTTTAGAGCAGTCCACAAATAACCCAGGTTAAACGCCTAAACAGCCCTTTTCGGTTTAATCAGATCATTTTGTAGCGTAGTTGTGTTGTGTATTAATGCTGGATGGAAATGAGGAAAAATTATCTGTATCTGACATCGATCCTCTTTAAATGAAAAGTACACTTTATGAACATTACAGTTACATTGTAATGTGTACATAGTGCAGGTGCAGTGAGTAATGTGCTTCCACATTCTTTGCTCAAGCAGAAGGTAATGAGAATACATGTAAAGACTGATTTGAACACAAAGCAGTTTAGTGATTCAAAAAGCAAACAAAAACACAACAACAGTAATTATCAAGAACAAATAAATATAAATATATATAATGTGTGTTACAATTTAAGATTATATACAAAATATTGTCAAATACAATATAAACCAACAAAAGAAGATCAATATGTTTGTTTTTTATTGAGCTTTTTCACGTGATTTCTAATTTTTTCAACAAGGTATTGCTTGAACGTGGTTTTTATGCCTGCAGGAGTCCAGTCCTCCTCCCAGACGCCCCTGGAAACTCCTTCGTTGAGCACCGCCGCCGCGTTCATCTCCAGGTTTCTCCGATCTGACAGAGATATCAGGAGGTTGTTTTTAGTTCTCACGTCACTTGACTTCTATTGAGAGAACCTGTCAAACAGTTAAGAGGCTTAAAGCGCGCTCACCTTTGATTTTCAGCTGGCCCATCATGTATCCGAAGAAGGCCTGCTGCCTTTCAGTCAGCTTCTCACGGGCATCGGCTCTTTCTGGCCAGAATGGCTCCAGGATCTTGTCCAGCTCTTCGGACCGTCTCCGCTTCGGTTCCGGAGTCCAATCTGGTGAGGAAGCGGGTCTCTTCTGGCCTCCGGAGTGGGCCGGAGCACTGCTGCCCTTTCCTTCCAGCTGCTTCCTCAACTCCTCGATCTTTTGGTCTTGGTCTGCGACGCGAGATTTTAAGGCGCTGAGCTCTGCCTTAACTGCAGCCATGTCGCTTATCCTTGCTGTGTTATTTAATGATTCCTGCAGGCTTTTATGTGTTTTTTTCGCATCAGAAAGCTGCTCAGTTGCAAATCTCTCGAGAGAATTGACTCGACCGACTAACACCTCCTCAAAAGACGGGTCCAGGTCATCTCCTTCAGAGGTGCTCATCTTTTTGTTGTCCTGATGGGTAGACGCAGAACAAAGTTATAATTGGAAATATCTCGTGGAAACTGTATGCGTGTGTGTGTAGATCATTGACCACATTTGGGGGAAGAACGCGCACTTAAAAGTGAGCTAAGGGAGAGCGGGGCACGAACCATAAAAAATGACTTGAAGCTTTCCACACATGGAGGCATTGCAATGTGCACTACTTACTCGTTGCTTTATCAACAGTTTACAGATTAAAAAACTTGTGCCAAAATATCTGGATGTTTCCTCATCGCCATAGCTTTGAACTTACTGTACAGCTGATGTCATGGTTAAACCGTATCTAGAACAGAATTACAACTCCGCAATCTCAATTTTCACTGATGGTTCCAAAGATCACGAGACAGGACGAGCATCAGCAGCTGTATTTGTCCCAACTTATCAAATCAAGACTGGTAAAAGAGTTTCTAATCAAGTAGGAGTTTACATCACAGAGATGGTAGCAATATTATTAGCTATCAGGTGGATGGGGGATACTCGGCCAATGAATGCAGTGATATGTTCAGATTCATTCTCTGCACTATCAAGTCTTATCAGTGGAAGATCTTCAAGACAAGACATTTTGGACATTAAGGTTTGTTTCCTGTGGGTTCCAACACACGTGGGAGTGGATGGAAATGAGGTTGCGGATCATTTAGCAAAACAGGCACTGAAATGATCACATATAGAAATTATTATACCACTAAGCATAGAAGAAGTTAAGGCTAAAATTAGAACAACAATAAAAATGAGATGGGAAGAAGTTTGGAATAAGGAGGAGAGAGGAAGACATCTTTATCATATTCAAAACTATCGTTTGTTTACCAACCGTCATAAAACTCCAAAAGAAGAAGAACGCAAGGCATCAATGTAATCATTGTGGACTTCCAGAAACTGTAGAGCATGTGCTGATTAACTGTAGGGCATATGAAAGGGAAAGAATACAGTTAAAAGAGGAATTAAAATCCGCCGGCATTAATTCTATGACAGTACAGAATGTGTTTAACAGTTCTCATAAAGGTTATAAAGCTCTTATTAATTTTCTGAAAATAACAAAGTTATATAATAAAATATAGGTAGAAGGTTTTTATTTTTATTTTTTTATTTTATATATTTTTTTGAATTAGCATTTCCCTTGATATCATCGCCTCACAGTAGGTGGCGGAAATGCACCAAAAGCTGGTTTGCCAACCACCGTTAAACATCATAAGAAGAAGAACGCAAGGCATTGTGGGTTTTTAGGACACAGAAGCTGCATAGAGAGAGACAGTAGGCGGGCATCGGAGTTCCTTTTGTTATACATCAAAAACACGCAGGAATGGTGAACTCTTGCTGTGTTATTAACTGCAATAACCGTTCGCAGGATCGGTATGGAAAACGCATTTTAAATGGAGTGCGATTTTTCAGCTTTCCAGCTTGGAAGCAACACCTTGGAAATCAGATCTCCGAGTTAACAAAGAGGCGTCGCATGGCATGGGTATCAGCCATAAGACGCAAAGACATCACCTTCGACAACATTTCCCGACACATGTTTGTGTGTTCACGGCATTTTCTCTCAGGTAAGCTATAATCAAGACACATCTAACTGCTACGTTGTTGCCGCTAGCAATGCTAACATGGCGAGGAGTTACACCGCTAACTTTGCACAACTAGATATATACTATCGGTCAAAAGATCACGATTTTGTAATGGTTCTGGGAGAATCATTATGCTCACCAAGGCTGCGTTTATTTGCATTTATTTATTACTGTATAAACACAGTAAAATAATAATATTGTGAAATATGATTACAGTTTAAAATAACTGTTTGTCGTTTCAGTATACAATGTATTCCTGTGATGGCAAAGCTACATTTTCTGCTGCCATTACTCCAGAATTCAGTGTCACAAGATTCTACAGAAATCATTGTAATATGCTGATTTGGTGCTCAAGAAACATTTCTTATTATCTTATTCTTAATATTTTGCGTGATACCCAGAACTTTTAAACAGCAGTTTACCTAAGATATATATATTTATTTATGTATGTGTGTGTGTGTGTGTGTGTGTTTGTATGAAATCGCAATCAATTGATCAAAAGTGATGTAAAGTAACGTTACAAAAGATTTCTATTTTAAATAAATGCTGTTCTTTTGAAAATGCATCACAGTTTCCACAGAAATATTACGCAGCAAACAAAACAAAAAAGTTTCAACATTGCTAAGAACTATTATTAATAAGTAATAATGATTGAGCACCAAATCAATGTAATATAATTATTTTATGAATTTTAAAGGATCACTGGCGTAATTAATCATCTTGCTTCATTTCATCACAAGAATGAATTACATTTTTAAAATATCCAATTATTTTAAATTGTAATGATAATGAGTCACTTTATTATGTACAAAAGTCATGATTATTTCAAATGTTTCATTGTTAGTGTGACTAATCAAAGAAATTTTGTTTTTTCTTCTAATCAGGCAAACCAGCCTATGAAATGCTTGAGTGTCATCCTGACTGGGTGCCGTCATTACATCTCGGGCACACAGAGGTCAAAGCGACGCGTCCTGAGCGGTTTCCCCGTAGGTCAAAGAGACAAAAAGCTCGCGCACAGAACAACGCTGCACCTGCAACATCACCAGCTCTACCAGACCTGAAATTGGAGATGGATGTAGATGTACCACCAATAAAAGGTCCACCGGCGGATGAAGGTCCACCGGCGGATGAAGGTCCACCGGCGGATGAAGGTCCACCGGCGGATGAAGATCCACCATCGGATGAAGATCCACCATCGGATGAAGATCCACCATCGGATGAAGATCCACCATCGGATGAAGATCCACCATCGGATGAAGATCCACCATCGGATGAAGATCCACCATCGGATGAAGATCCACCATCGGATGAACATTCACCATCGGATGAAGATCCACCATCAGATGACGCTTCACAAAGCTTACAGATGGATGAAACTGCATCAACGTACGACCTTGAAGAACAGCAGGAATGTAGTTTTTGTAGCTGCAGACGTGCTGAAATTAACCGCTTATTAGAGGAGAACAGGCAACTGAAGGAAGAGCTCTCCCAAAAGACAATGTCTGAGGATTTTTTGGGAGATGATGAAGAGAGGGTCAAGTACTACACTGGGCTGCCATGTTTTGCTGTTCTGATGGGTGTGCTGACGCAGCTTCTTCCTTGCCTACCACGGACAGGATGCAAACTTTCGCCTTTTCACATGCTCTTTTTAACTCTGATGCGCCTAAAGCTGAATCTGCCAATCCAGCACATTGCACACCTCTTCTGCATAGATCAACAGACAGTGTCCACCACATTCAGAGACACCATAAGTGCAATGTTTACACACCTCAGCCCTTTGGTGCACTGGCCAGAGAGATATTGCTTGAAGGGCAGCATGTTACAACAGTTTGTAGAAGCTTTTGGCAATCATGTTGCAGTGATCGTGGACTGCTTTGAAATGAATGCAGAGAGAGCATCAAATCAGAGAGCTATAGCTCAGAGATCTTCACAAAAGCACACGCTAAAGTATCTCATTGGCATTACACCACGTGGAGCTATTGCTTTCGTTTCTAAAGGGTGGGGAGATGGTGTCAGTGACCAGTATATTATTGAGAGTAGTGGCCTTCTTGATAAACTGTTGCCTGGAGACTTGGTGTTGGCGGATAGAGGGTTTGACATCAGGGAGAATGTCGGACTAATGTGTGCAGAAGTGAAAAAACAAAAGCTGGTTACAAAAGATGCGGAGGAGACACGCAAGTTAGCTCACCTCAGGGTCCACTTGAACAGGGTGGTGGGATGTGTGCGCAGAAAGTACACCATGCTAAGTGAAGCCGTACCGGTGAGCATGATTGCCCCATGTGAAGACGAGGACATGATGTTCCTTGACAAGGTTGTGACTGTGTGCTGTGCCCTGACTAATATGTGCCCCAGTGTTATGAAACTGTAAACCATGACATGAACTGTACACATGACAAACTCAATGTGAACTGTATATTCTTCATTACTTTGTCACGTTATAATAATAAATGATGAAAAAGGACTACAGTTTTGTGTCTCTTTATTTGTGTAATGCTGAAGTAAATGTGTACAGTCCACAGGAAAAAAATACAAGTAAAAGTAAAGCGACAGTGTAACCAAGTACTGACAACAGAGATTAAAAGGCAATAAATAAGTTACAAATGCAGAATGTACAATGAAAAACTACTGAAAAGTTTCTAGTGCAAAATACAAATACATAAATACAACAGGTAAAAGAGGTAAAGTAGCAGTACAGCCTTCAAGGACTGACAAGGTAAAAATTTATACAAACACTGGTTAAATACACAATGAACAATGAAAACCTACTGCACTTAAATGGTCACAGTGTTAATGTAGTGCAAATACAACAGGTAAAGTGGCAATGCAACCTTCAAGTTAAGCTAAATAAATTATTAAATTAATAAATTATGCTCATCATCTGATTTATTCTGCAGCTATGTCTTCTAAATTTGACTACAAAAATCACCAACACTGAGTTCAGTTTTTTTCTGAGGTTTTTTTTGTTGCTTTTATTGTGCACAGATGACATGAAATATTGATTTGAGTTTAAATTATTTTAGTGCCTAAGTTGGTGCAACAGTTTTTCAAGAACAAAAATGTCTGGTGTTAGTCACAAGTGCACACTGTATAATTAATTTCTAGGCACGTTGTTCAAAAAAGTTGATCAAAAGTAAAATCTGTAAATTAGTAAGAGAGTCAGACCACCCATTATGTGCAAAGAATACAGATCTTCACAGTTTATTCGAGAAAATGGGGGAGTTAATAACTGATAGGAATAACTGATCATATGAATGTTGTCTGTTGTCAAGCCATTGTACACTAGATCTGAGAATGAAGTGCTGGTAAAAATCCTCTTTACAATAGTAATTCACAGTCTGCTTAAAGCTTTATTTAAGCATGGCTAACTAATTGCAGATAATGAGATCTTAATACTGAAAAATGTATGTTACCCTGCAATAGTTCTTATGAATAAATGCTGTTAACAGTGAATATAGTCACAGGGGGAGTGTGGTAAATTGTTAAATAATGGCAAAATGATATCTAAATGAGACAAAAACATGTTTAACAATGTCTTGAAGGCTCTGCAAATAGGAAATCAAAGCACACTGGTGTTTTGTCACCGAGTCTTTTTATAACTACTCTCAGATCTATTTAATAGGTTTAAACTGCTGTTTATTTTTCATGCCGACTTGCTGCAACACTGATGAGCATCTGAGTCAAAATCAACAGTCTTACCATCTAGCCACGAGAAGTCAAGACATGATCAACAGTTACAACACCACCTTGGCTCTCTGATGAACTTTTCTAAGTGTACTTTGCTTTCATCATGTCTTACAAAGATGCTCTGTCAGCTTCTACTTTCACACCAGCACCTGTTAAAATTAAGTTGGGAAAATAAAAAAGTCTTGAATGCAAAACTATTGAACTGGGATCATAAATGGGGATATGTTCTGCTTCAGATGTCAAGGATTTCACGAAAACACTTGTTTACTGAACGTTTTTGAGGTTTTTACCCTGACAAAAACTTTTGATTAAAGCTTAAATTCATGGTACATTATCCTCTCGGAATTATTAAAAACATCACAGGATTTCTTGCATGCAGATGTAAAATTACAGAAAGAAACCCTTAACTCTACAATGAAAAAAATGTATACTAATTTACGTGTTCTTCCTAAATAAAAGTGGTTTAGATTTGGCTCTCATCTAGACTTTTTTTTTTAATCTTAATGGTTGAATAGTTGCCATTTATTATTAAATATTTTATTTTACAAGTTTAAACATTTCACTAAAATAGGAAAAGGCAATATATTATTCATATAAAATACAATATAAGTGCACTTTTGTTTTGTTTTTAAATATAAGCGCTATTTCCCCTCCAAACACTAGAGGGCCTTCTTCCGCTTGCAAACAACAGCAAATCCACATAGCTTCCTGCATTCTTGCCCTGAATGTGAAAGCCCACTTCTTCATATATGCAGGTAGGAAAGCTTGATGGGTAACTTTAAAAGTGCTGGTGATTTGTGTAGATAATTATATTGTCTTCCTCGTGTGGGATTTCCAGTATTCTTCAACGGTTGTTGTTTGGTTATGTAGGTATCGATTATGTGTGTTTCTTGCGTTTGTATTTTATTCATCAGATATTCGCGTCATGTACATAAGGTAGCCTACCTAAAGCATGATAATAAAAATCTCCGAGACAAGAATACAGACGGTTTCAGGCGGTCACTCGTATAGTAGCTGATCTGAAATAGTATCTGTGCACTTACATTTATTGTTTCTTGTATGTTTTACAGTCTTTCATCATGAAAAGCTCTAAAGAAGCTGTGCAGGCTGCTGCCAAAGAATTTCTTAATTTTGTCAATAAGGGAGTTTCACCTTACCATGGTAGGAATGACATGGGATTGAAATGCTGTGTATTGACTATGTAAATTGCATTGAAATACATAAATGCCACTCTTTTTAAAAGTTTGAGCTACACTTTGTTGATAATAAGATTAACTAGCTTTACAGTCTGACTAGATATGGCTCTTGGACATTGTTCTTCACTGGCCGATAGAGCTCCAGATATGGACAATAGATCTTGATCTAGACTTTGAAAGAATGTTCTTTCACTTTTTTCCTATTTCACAGGCTTTGTTATGTCACTGTGATGTAAGCATTGTACTGGAACGTGCATGAGTTTAGTTGTATGTAAGTTAACACTGTATATCTAACATTACCTTCTTCTGTATGTCTTTTCCTCCGTCCTTCTTTGTGTCACAGTGGTGGAGGAGTGTAAATCTCGCCTGCTGAAGGCTGGTTTTACTGAGCTCAAGGAGGCTGAGCATTGGGACATTAAACCTGCCAGTAAGGTAAGTGTGCACTTTAATCTTAACACATTTATCTTTGAAATTAGAATTTGCTAAAAAAAAATCCAAGATGTTGATTTGGAGAAATGTAGCATTACATCACTTGCCCATCAATGGATTCTCTGCAATGGATAAAAGCATCACAATAATCCACATGACTCCAATACATCAATTAGCATCCTGTGAATTGAAAAGCTGTGTGTTTGTAAAAAAAAAAAAAAAAAAAAAAAAACAGAATCCATCATTAAGCAGTTTTAACTTTAAATTGTCACCTCTATACAAAATACCATAATCCATAACAGGCACGTGCACAGGTAGGGCTCAACCTGTGCAGAGCACATGCCCTTTTTGTCCTTACACTCAATAAATCAATGCTATTGGTCACCCTTTTACGTCTGTCTGTTTTACAAATATATTTAGCGAATGAAAGGTATTAAAAAGAGTTTGTGACTCAATCTTGTTGGATCCGCTCAAACTGTCAGTCAAACCTCATAACCCCGCCCCCTGTCTTGACTTTACTGAGTGCAGTGAACTGAAGTTCCACAGCAGAGCAGCTGAACGTCTTGCAAGGGTAAATAAATATCTTCTTGTTTGTATAAGTACAGCGTTGTCTTTACGCAAGAAACACTAGTATGTCTACTGTATAAAGGCTCATGTTTTATGCATTTGACGTTTTATGCATTTTTACAACAGGAAAACTGAGCGGCCGTATAGCTACAACAAACTTTGTAACCTGTTGATCAAAACGTAATGTGATGCTGCCGTTTTAATGATGGACAAATTGCACATTTGCACACACATTCGCTGGTCAAAAACCCGGCCATAACTGCATTTGAGTTTGACACAAAACGACTGAGTGTTCCTCGTCAGCTAGGTAAAATATATTTCTAAGAAAATTCTTCTTTGATTTATGATGGCTATCTGCTGATACACTTAATTTATTTACATTTAATCATATATATGGTCACACTCACAGCATGGTTAATGGTTACGATGTTAATATGCATGTATTTTGCTAGCTAGCTAGTAGTATTCTATACTCTCCGCTTATCATTAAGATGTGACCAGTAAAAAAGGGGGGGGGTGCCCTTTTTCAGTTTCAGCAAATGCCCCTCTGTGCACGGCCCTGATCCATAATAACGCTCCAGTGCAAAAGTAAATCGCCTGTTGTCCTCTCACATCAAAACATTTACAGCTGTTTTGGACTATTTTCACAGTGCTTGATTTGTGCATATTTCTCTCCTCGTTCAGATGAGATAAAGTTTTAACTGGAGAAAGCAATATTATGGATTGAGGACTCGGTTTTAAGTTAAAAGCATTGTAATGATGAATTTGTTTATCGCAAACACTCAGCTTTTCACTTCACAAAACATTAACTGATGAACTGGAGTCGTGTCGATTACTTGTCTATTAATGTGATACTTCTATACAGCTGGAGGAATTACTTTAAAAGGTGCATATAATAATAATAATAATAATGCTAAAATATCTTTGCCCACATGTAGCTTATTGTGTTATTTTTATACAGAATGAGAAACAACTCCTATTAAATATTTTTGCACTGTAGTCACTAATCTATATCTGTCCAGTATTTTGTAACCAGGAATTACTCCACCATTATTGCCTTTGCTGTCGGCGGTCTCTACAAGCCTGGAAATGGTTTTTCCATGATCGGGGCTCATACGGACAGTCCATGTCTGAGGGTGAGAAGAACAGACACAAGATGCCCTGTGAAAGGGCTTTGATATAGATAAAATATATGATCAATTCTCTGAGTGTTCCGTAGCTGTGTGTAGTAATTACATTATAGTAGTCAGATAACTGTATTCCACATTAACGTTCGTAGAGGATGTATTCGGGTATCGTTCTTAATTTCTTGTGTGTGTGTGTTCTCAGGTGAAGCCACGTTCTAAGAAGACAAAGTTAGGCTACTTGCAGATAGGAGTGGAGTGTTATGGAGGAGGAATATGGAACACTTGGTTTGATCGTGACCTGACCATCGCAGGTCGTGTAATGGTTAAGGTAAGCCTCTGTGATACAGAAATGTAAAACATATCCAGGTTCCATCATTGTTAATGATCTTTACTTCTATATGAATAACACTCCCTTTTACCAGTGTTGTCTGTTTGTATGTTTTTATTCAGAGC